AGTAGTAAGGGCACATCCTTGAGAAGTGCAAACTGTGGTTTGAATCCTCTCAGGATAATGTTAATAAAGCTAATCCCCAGGATTATGTTTACTCAAAGGGTGTTCTAATCCTGGGTTGCTATTACAAGAAAATGAGCAGTATCTCTTACTTGACCATTTTTGAATGAAAGCAAGTAGTTTCTGGATCTGTGCCGAAATTTGTGTTGTCAGTGTACTTCTGAAGCTCTGAAGTTGTCTAATGCATCAGGTATTCTTGAGACTAAAACAGCATATCAGAGTCTTCCTGCTTTTTATCTGATTCTGAGCAAAGCTTTGATATTACAAATACATAAGTACTCCATTCTGCTCTGGTTGGAGTGCTTCCTTCTTGTGCAGATGTCAAAGTTTCACAGCCTATTTGTCACCTAATGAATGCAAATAATACTTGAATTTACAGACTTGGAGAGTTTGGCAGTACTAGAAAGCAGATTTTTTTCAACTGCTCTTGCAAATACAAATTCTTTTGCAGAAAAGCAAACAGAAGTTACTTTTGCATCCAACTTTTGCTTCTCTTTTTGGTAAAACAGAATCAAGGACATAGGACTTTCATTCTGAAGTACAGAAAGATCTGGTGTGTCACTGGTTTGATGAGCTATAAATAAGTTCTTCAAAAAGGAGCGCGTACACATGGTTATGTGTATTTTTAAGATGTTTCTTTCATGATCTTTCTGACATTAACTGAAAGCTGCTGACCTGTTGTCATATCTGTCTCCTTAGAGATACATTGTTCTGGTATGCTGCTTGTCACTCCGTCCCCTCCATTGTAAAGGAATAATGGATTGCAGCTTTCATGTCATCTTACAGGTTTGGCAACTGATGCACCTTTTTTCCTATTCTGGAAACTTGTCCATGGGGATTTAGAGAAATTTTTGTGTTTGCCCATGATTTTGGGTGCATTATACTCCCATTTCTGATGAAAATGCCAATGAAATTGTCCATCTGCTACACAGTAATCATATGCAAAGGCACTAAGCACAACGCTTTCATCAAAGATTACCATATGTTCAGAAATCCCAAATGTCCATGGAATATCTGCATCCAGCTGTCACGCATATGCACAATAGATCTGATACTTCCTAAAAAATAATGAACACACTCAATGTGTCCATGCTAGACATTCAGGAAGTCCTGGAGTGATGTACTTAGTTTTTGACCTGAAGAAGGGAGTCTCTGTACCCTGTAATGTAGAGGTTGAAGTAACTTTATTCCTTCATTATTAGTCCTAAAGACAGGAAACCATTTTTTTAAAATACCATAAAAGCCTGTGAAACTCCCATGAAGAGCAGACCGCGTTGAGTGCTTCTGGGAAATTAGAGAAAAAAGTAACATTTTTCTTGCCAAAAGTTTTGGAGTATACACATGTATTCAGCTTATCTCTTTGATACCATGAAATGGGGAGAGCTGGAAAGTCAGTCTTTTCTTATAGTAAAATTATAATATATGCCTGGTTTTTGTTCAGTAGCACAGTTTACTGGAGACATAAGGTAATAATGGTATAATTAAGATCCTATGAAGGTTAATTAAGGCTGTAATCCAATAATTAAGATACTATCTACAAGGTAGAAAGGTAAGGTAGGTGAATATTAAGAAATTAATAAATTTTAGCCAGTGAAAAAGCATAAATCATTAATAAAGATGTAGTAGCTGCATGGTAAAACAAAAAGAAAAGTGAGCCATAAGAAGAAGAAGAAAAAAATTTAACAAAGGCAGAAAAAAGTAAAAACATGGACCATTTTTTATGACATACATAGCAGATAAACCATGTAATCAAATACTAAAATCATTAATTCTTTATATTTAGGTATCGTCTCCTTATAGTGACTTCTGAGCTTGTCTCTGGCATTAAGGTCCAAGAAAAAGGGTACAGAGAGTTGTTACATAAATTTAAATCACTGTTAAAGCAAACAGATGTTTAGCAAACGTACTGCAAGATACAAGTAGGCAAAATGCAGTGCAGTGATCTGGTGTTGCATGCTATGCTTCACGAAAGTTGGGGAAAAGTCTTCCCAATTTTGGCTATTTCTAGTAACACTTTTTATTTCAGATTTGTAATGTTAAAGTATGACTCTCTTCTGAATTGTTTTGTTGTTTGCTTTGTTTCATCATGGGATAAAATGTGGGAAATATTAAGCACAAATAAATGTGCACTTTTGTGTTGATATATGCCCCAGCTGGTTTACCCTTAAGGCTCAGCTGTGGCTTTTAGGAGCCTGAGAAGGATTTAGGAATGGAATGGATCCAAGTGTCTGAAAAACGTTTCTTGAAGGCCTTTCAAGTTTGAAATGTCTGCTGGGTGCTGGCAGGAGGAACACGGAGGATGTATTTATGAACAAAAGCATGCAATTTCTTCCCTTAGCAGAAGAATCTTGCACAGAAAATGTGAGGATGCAATGGCTCTCCCTTGCCATCAGGTCCCTTTGGGCATTGGAAGCACAGCTGGCTGCTCCAGTCCTGCTTCACAGCTCGCTGCTGGCAAAGTTCTTGCTAACTTTATCTGTGTACACTGGAAAGAAGAAAAGACACTCTGTGCTTTTCTCTATCATTACGACAATTTCAGCACAGCTGTAATTTAACTGATAAGTATGTTTATTGTCGTATAAAATCAGACTAGTGAGGTGCTGGTCCTTCAGCAACTTAAGTATGTACCTAATTTCATTCCTGTTGATTTTTGTTGGATATCTTATATATATATATATTATCTGCAAATAATACGCGAATAATAAGTGGGGGAGCAAGAACATGAAAATCATTAATTCAGTTATAAGGACAGATACAAACCTTTTCTTTTGCAGTTCAGAGTTGGTACAGGAAACACATACATGTGGCACAAAGAAGAATCAAATTCTGGTTTGACAGCTTCAGGCTTATCCCGTTTTATGTTTTGGGGGTCCTGCCTGTCCTCTTCGCTACATAGCTGTTCAACTTTTATCTGCTTTAGCTTTTGATTTTTCAGTTCTATTGGGTGCACACACTTGGCATAATTTCCCAAATTCCTGTTTGTTGGAACCTGAAGCATTGTAACAAGAGTTTCTATTTCACAGTTGCAATGCCAGGGATTATCATAAAGACGCAGGTAGTTTAGACTGGGCGTATAAATAAAAATCTCCTCGGATAAACTCTTAATTTGGTTATGCTGCAGTAAGAGCGTGGTAAGTTTATTCAAACCAAAAAAAGCCTCGCTCTCAATTTTTGATATGTCATTCTGTTGTAAATCCAGACTTTTCAGTAATTTATACTTGGAAAACATATTATTCTTCAATTTACGAATCCTGTTTCTTGCTAGCAGCATGTGTTTTAAATCCTCTGGCCAATCAGGTGCCACAAAAATCAATTTTCTTTCCTGACAATCTAGGTATTTCTCATGAAGATAAGTGTATATGTCACATGGTAGGCCTTGGGCATTGCGCTTAACAGTGCTAGATGCTTTCCTTAAGATGTTTTCCCTTTCATTGTTTCTCAAACTCCTATTCCTTGTCTTCCTACAGTCAGATGCTTTACAAAGCAGAAGCAGTAGTATAATAGTAACTACTTGCATCCTGACATTCAGCTGGCCCCAGTTATTTTCTGTGACAGCTGGAACAGTTGAAATTTTTGGACAGTCTTAATCAGTGTTGCACAGATCTGAGGAGGAACAGCTGGGGTATGTGGGATCCCTGTGTTGGAAGAAAAGCAAAACATTAGGACAGATGAAATAGGCATTTTTGTGGAGGCTTCTGCATAATATGCAGCATTCAGTCAGATACTCAATCATCACACTACTTGGAGCTTCACAAATACTTTGGAGATTTAATGTCTTACATCGGTTTTTTGTTGGTTTTATGTCCTCTGGTCTACTGTTGTTCATTTTGATTAAACATGGGAAACTATATGGACCAATTTCTAACTGACCTTTGTTAGAAGGTTCTTATGTATTCAGGAAAACGGCATCAGGCTGAATCTTCTTTGTATTTAAGTTCAGCTTGGAAGATGAGCTTAAAAGAAGAGCTTGAAGCTGTTATTTTCCAGCTTCTCCGGGTGTTGACCCACTGGAACACATACAGAGCCAGACCAGGAAAAGTCATCCAAGTGTCTATCAAACCCCCAGTTTTAGACTGCAATCAAGTGTGGACTTGTTTTCAAGTTGAGCCCCAATTTATCATAACTAGCCCTGCTACTACCAAGTGTCTCTCATGGCCCATGTCAGCTTGACAAAGTTGGCTGGACTGCTCTGAGAAGGACCCCAAAAAAATCTTTTGCAGGAGTCTATGAGGCTATATGTCATCTGAGTGTGGGCAGAGCAAAAGGAACCTGCAGGTCCTGGCCGTGGCCTGCTTCAAACCGCTTCCAGGTCTGGCCACCTGAGGACAGAGAGTACAGAGGGGTAAGCCAGGAGCTTTTACCTTTCCAAGAAAGCCAAATAGAATCATTACAGAATCATAGAATGGTTTGAGTTGGAAATGACCTTGAAGATCATCCAGTTCCAACACCCTGCCATGGGCAGGAGCACCTTCCACTAGACCAGGTTGCTCAAAGTCCCCTCCAACCTGACCTTGAACACTATTAGGAATTATTATTAGGGGAAGACAAGGACTGCTCCCTGCAACCATGTCAAAAATTGCCTCAGTATTTTTAGTAATTTTTTGGCTTATGTTCCCTCCTGAGTTTCCTGTAGTACTCCTGTACATTGCCCTTTTCCTTCATTTTTAGTGAAGTTTGGCCACAAGATTGTGTTTCCCTAGAAAAGATCAACTAATATCAGGTAAAAAGCAAAGAAATATTTTGTTTTTAAAAAAATGGTAGATGAGTTTAAATCACATCTCAACTGTAGGGCATTCTCAGTATTTGTGCAGTTCTTACTCACTAGGCAGATGCAGCGGTAGTGTGTGTTTGTGCATGCTACTGCAGCCCTGTAATCCATGTGGGCAGTTGTTAATATTACCTTTGAAAACCCATAGATTGGTTTCTCCATTTTGTCTGTGTAGTTGCCAGTTGTCTATCTGCATTCAGATTCTGTTAGTTCACAGTGTGAGTGTTTGCATTGATGACTTTATCCCATACATGAAGAAATGAAATTTTATTTGTTGCTTTTTGGCAGCTATATGCTAGTCCGTATAAATTGATCACGTGTTTTAATAACTTGAATTATAACTGGGACCTTCTATGTTGTTTTGAACTGTTCACTGTTCTGGTAATGTGATAGCTCATTCTATCCAGGAGAGCTCAGAAACAGAAAAAATAAGAACTTGGGGAGGAATGGTAATAAATAATTATGGCAATATTCTTTCCTCTTCCTTTCCACCTCCTGGGTCTGACCTGGCATTTATTACATTGCATGTATTATAAAGTATTACAGTGTATTACATTCTGTCTGCTAACTAAATTATACTCAGCTATAATACCAAAATGAGCAGCTGCTTTCTGTAGCACGTATAGGTTCACACGTAAAATTGTAACTGTCTCATTTAGGGCTAGGGCAAAAAACATGTAAAAGGTATGTAATTTCTGTGGCTTAGCAGCCTTAAGGATGATTTTAATTGGTTAGGTTCTAATATTTTCCATATTAGGTATCTGAATCAGGCCTATTTTTTTTTCATTTCAGTTTAGACAGATCAGTTATTTTTGAAGATTAGATTAACGCAAAAAGTATTACTATGTTTAGTAGGAATTTTTGCATCTTTACCTTGAAGGCTAGACTGAAAATTTGGCAGAAGAGTGGCTGAAAGGATGTGTAAGGTTTTTTCTAGTGTCAGACTTGTGTCTTTCATTATTTTGTCAGAATTGCAACTATCTCTGCAAAATAGGAGTTTCAAAAAACAATAGACACACAGAAGAGACTGTCTCAGGCAGCTGAATTCTCTGAAATTCCATACCTGCAGAAGATAAGCAGGGCTTTTCTTACGATTGGTCTGATTGCTGCACCTCTACTTTCAGAGGGAAAAAATTGTTCATGTATATGATTAGATAGTGGTGTCATAATACATGGGTGGGAGGGACAGGCAAACTTATGTAGAAAACTTAATTCTGGCATTTCCTTATACCGAATTGCTTAATTAGGTAGTTTTCTGGTACTTTGGTAACACAAGACAGAAGACAGCTTGGTTCCTAAGCCAGCCATTAGGTGATGGAGTATAAGAAGAGACATTTCCTCAGGACAGCTTACTTCAACTTGTATTCTACTTTTGGGATTTTCTGTTTTCTTCTAAGTAATCTGCTGTGGCCATGGTTTCAGGGAGGATATTGGTCTAGATGGACTGAATCTGTAATAGGAATTCTGACATTTGTGTTGCACACTGATAATTTGAACTGTTCACCTTTAATATGACTTTTATTTGGGTTTTTTTTAATGTGAAGGTAAGGATTTGCAAAACTTAAATCTCTCTGAATGCCAGGGTTTAAGTCTAGGTACTACAGACTTTTTTCCACAAACTCTAATTTATACCAAGAAGGAAGATTTTTTTAAAGTGCTGTGGTTATTGGGGTACACAAAAAGTAGAGACTTGTGTTCTTAGGTACTTTGAAAATGAAGTCTAGTAGGATTCAGAGATACTCAGTGAAGTTCTCATTTGTTTTGTACAGTGCCAGGGCAAAATGATATATTCAATCTGAATTAATTTTAATAAACAGGCTTCAAAACTTCACTAGTCTGGGGGGGGTGTGTGTTTGTTATTTTAAGTTTGGAGTTGTCAACAACAATACATTTTAATCCTATATTGTTTCCAAGTTCCTTTATTCCTTCATTCAGTAGTACACTTGGGCTCTAAAAATGTCTCACTAGATTTCTAGATATTTGTGAGAGCCTTTATTTGAAAGGTGTCTAAGTATACAATCACCATTATATATTTGTCCATTCTTTTCCCTTGAACATTTTGAGTCTTACTTTGTTTCCATTAATTCCCTTTAATGTTTTTTCATTGCTCTTCTCCGATGGAGAAACAATGTTTGACTATGCTTTAATTAAGAATTTCTTAGAAATGACATTGATGTGTGCAATTTTTTTCTAATAATAAAATCGATTTTAAAAGAAAAACTATTTTTTTTTTAGAAATTATGGTTCTTAATAGATTTGCATAACGTATACATCCCTTTATAGGCTAGTTATAGTGTTAAGTATATAAACAAATAATTAGGTATAGTTTAGTTGTTTTTGGAGGGAAACGTACGTCCATGGGTCTAGCCCAGAAACACACCAGTATTTATACTCAAGGTTTAAAAATTACCATGGATAAACTACAGCTTATGAACTTCATACAAAAAATGGCATGGTGGTGAACTTAGAGAGGCAAGAGTTGCAGAAGAATCATGAGGTTCTAATTTATAATCCTCTGTTTTGTTTCTTCTATACATATATCTTCATCTCTGTCCCATGTTTATGTTAGCTTTATTGCCAAATACCTTGTTCTCACTATTTTCACAGATTATATAATTCTCTTTGCTCTAACAACTACAAGGAAGGGATAAAGATATGTTATATTATGAAGTTCTTTGAGTAACACTGTAGAATCATCTTGCTACATAACATAACTCTTGCTATATGATATTCTAATTACAGTGTAATATTTATAGGTTTTGTATGCTTCTCCAGGATCGTGTTGATTGTAGGTCCCTGCATGAAGGCAAGGAGTTAAAGAGGTCCAGGGCTTGCCAAATTGTGAAGTCTCAAACACTGTTTCATAACTGTCCATTCTGTTTGGTTGTTAGCATGCATGCTAATATACATTGGGTATGTACCAGCAAGCGCCTTCCTAGGTGATGCCAGAGATAGCAGGGACTTGCTCATTACACTCTTGCCAATACAGCCTAGTATGTGGTTGGCCACCTTTCAGAAGCACACACTGTTGATCTGTGTTGAAATTGTTATTGATCAGGACTCTCAGGTCAGCATGTGAAATAGCTGCTTTCTGTCCAGTATCTAGACTGTACTGTTGCATGGGGTTATTCCATCCCAGATGCAGAACTTTGCATTTGCCTTTGTTGAACTTCATACAGTTTCTGTCAGACCATTTTTCCAGACTAAATCTCTCTGAATAGCGGTTCTAGGCTCCAGTGTATTGACACACACCCCCCTAGTTTGGAATCATTTGTGAATTTGCTGAGAACGTACTCTGTTCCTGACATTTTAACGGTACTGGCCCCCATATTGACCCTTGAGGGATGCCACTAGCCACAGGCCACCAATGGGACTTAGTTCCACTTGTGACAGCCCTTTGGCCTGGCAGTCCAGACAAATTTTCCCTCACCTCAAAGTCCACTTGTCCTGCCTTTATTTTACCAATTTGGCTATCAAGGATACTGTACCCTGTTACTGAAGTCAAGATACACAACAGCTGCTTTTCTCCCCTTGTCCATAGAGCCAGTAATTTCATCGTAGAAAACTTTTTCTCCCCTTATCCATAGAGCCAGTAATTTCATCATAGACAACTATCATCTTAGTGAGGAATACTTTGCCGCTGGTAAATCCACACTTGCTGTTTGCTACTACTTTTTCATTCTTCATGTGCTTGGACAGGGCTTCAAGGAGGATTTGCTACATAACCTTCCTAGGGACTCAGGTGAGGCTGACTGGCCTGTAATTTCCTGGATCCTCCTTCCTTTCCCTGAAGATAGATGTGACGTTTCTTGTCTTCCAGTCATCAGGAAACTCTTCTGATTGCCATGACCTTTCAAAAATGAGTTAGGCCTCTCAGTGACAGAAGCCATCTTAGTACTCTTGGATGCATCCTGTCTCATCGCATTTCCTCAGGTGATCCCTGACATTATCCTCTTCTACCATGGGTATTGCTTCACTCCCACAGACTCTTCTAGTAGGCTCCTGGGAGGCACCTGGGAGGCCTTAAGACAAGCTTTAGTAATAAAAATGGAGGCAAAAAAGTCATTGACTACCTCAGCCTTGAAGATCAACCAGCTGTCCTGGGCCCCTTTGACCCCCAGGGCTCTACCATGAGATCCTGTTAAGCAGATCCCTAAATAAGCCGAAATCTGCTCTCAAGTTCAGCCTTTTTATTCTACAATTTGTCCAATTTTCTTCCCTTAGGATTTTAAACTCCGTGTTTTCTTGATTGCAGTAACCAAAACCACTCTTGTTCTTCACATCCTTGACCAGTTTTTCCTTGTTTGTGAAACAAATCCAGAACAATGAGTTCCCTAGACCACTTGTCAGTCACCTGGATCAAGCAATTGTCTCCAAAACACTCTAGAAGTCTCCTGAATTGGTTGCACTCAGCCATGTTGTTCTTCCAGCAGATATCAGAGTGGTTAAATTCTCTTGTGGGTAACTAGGATGGGCGATTGTAAGGCTTCCTTCGGCTGCTCAAAGAAGGTTTCATCTACCTTCTTTTTTTTGATCAAGCAGTCTGTAGCAGATACTTAGCACAATGTAATCCTCATAGGTCTAGCCTCTAATCCTTACAAATAAGCTCTCGACTGAGTTGCCACCCATTCCAGTGCAAAGCTCCAGGCATTTAGACATAACTTTGCATGGAGTGCGACCTGTCCTCACCTTCCTAGGCTGTCATTCTTAAATATTCTGTAACCATTCAGTGCAGCCCTCCAGTTGTGTGTACTTTGCACCTCTGTAATCCCAGCGAAATCATAGCTGTGCACTTGTGTGTGGACTTTGATCCCTACTGGTTGATTCCCATCCTCCCACCACTCCCTATGCCTCAGGTTCTCTTCAGGTTATGGTTATCTTCCATCAACATACCTATTTTTACTGATATTACCTTTCTCAAATCCTTTGTTGCATGAATGTATTTCAAAAGCATAAACTGTCCTCTTTAAAGTTGATTGGTATTGAATTTCCAACTATCTTGGTCCTTTTGCCTGATAACTGAAATAGTAAAAAGGTGACCACAACATGGCAAAAGACGCTCAACTATTACATTTCCATATATACGTGCTGGCTTTTTGCCTTTCTATTATATTGACAGTTATTGTGATACATTCTTCATACTAGGAGATTTGTTCCCATTATGTTCTAATGGAATGATGTATATGAGAATATAGGTAATACCACTTTTGCAGGTCAATAGAACATAGAAGACTTATAATTAATTCTAATGTTCCACCTAGAGGGGAGAACTAAACAGGAAGTGTTTTGTAAATGATAGTACTGGTTACAGAGGTGTACTTAAGGGTTTATGGAGAAAATTCAGCAGTGGTTTTAGGTACCAGGATTGGCTAACAAGAATCTTGGTTTAGCAAAATATGTAAATACGTGCTAACTCTCAATCATGTGAAAAGCCCCCTGTGCTCTGTAGGACTGTGTAGTGTATAGCGTTTCCTTGAATTAAAATGTTAAATTACCATACTTCGTGTGAGTAACAGTAGCATCATGTGTCTCTTGGTATTCTACTTTGGGGCTCCAAAAGAAAATGGCTGTGATGATTTAAAGATTCTTATTCATATTTTTCCCCTTGTTACTCTGCATAAAAATATAAGGTAAATTAATATAAATATAATTTTAATGTACTTCTGGATTTTTTTTTATTATTCAAGATGAATTGATGAAACTCATCAGAAGTTTGCAGAGCTCTTCTCTATTTAAATCTGTCGTATATAGATATTACTAATGGAACGCTACAGCTATTGTCAAGGTACAATAAAACAGAAATATGAAAGAATATGCTAGCCAAAAATTCTTGGGCATGTCCAGTTACTCATGATGATGTAAGAAATTTGCAGGTTAGGTATGTTCTTAAGAATTTATTTTTGCAAGAGAGGATTGTGGATAGGTGTACGGTGTGAGCCAAGGCCTTGTGTGACAACTGCAAAACAACAACTGCCATT